TCCTAGCATCGTGGACACAGGCCTTTAGAGGCTGATCGCTTCAGAGACACCGCTCCTTCTGTTGCTCCAACGATGACTTTATCATTTTTACTAACGATGCGGTACATGTCCGAAATTTAGCTGACAATTAGCGCATGAATAATTACTTTGTCATTGAAAAGGGTTAGCACATCGTCAAATATCGCTTTATCGTCATATCCGCCTATCGCCCTTATCATAACTAATAGTTTTATCATTTTTCATTCGACATGTCGAAGAACTATGAATAAATCTGGATATTTTTAATTGTTCATGAATTATTTCTTTTCATCCTACCCGACTGACTGCACGATAAGATATTTTACGCGGAATCTCCTTTCGGTTCGTTTAAACGGATCTTTTTATTTTCGCTCTGTCACGCTGACGTTCCAGTCCGTACTTATTGTTGTGCAGGAAAATACGGATAAAATTTGCAAGATCCCTTTGCTCCCTGCTACAGACCGCGAGAATCGGGGTCTTCATTACGCGTCTCATTCTTTGTTGCAGACCGGAAACAGTTACAAATCGCCAGAGGAATCGCCGCACACGGAGCACGGCAGACTGAGGTGAGTGAAAACAAACCGCGCGCTGTTGCAAGCGCGCAACAAAGCCGAAGAAATAACAAATGCAACCCCGGCGAGGTTATTACCGAGGGAAACAGGCACTCGGGTAAAAATACGCGGGCCGGTCTCGGCGACGGTAGACTCTACCTTTACGATGAACAAAGTGCCTTTGGAAAAGGCGATGCGTGCGCTTCAAATTGCAAATCGTAATTTGCCGCAATACATATTTACACAACGCTAGATGGACACGCATGGAAATTGATGATTAATCTATAATTATCTCGAATCATAGAGAGGGTTAATGGGTCGGAAATAATTATAACAAATTTCCCGCGTCATTTCCCCAGGTTCAAGTAATTAACCGCGAAATGTATGGCGAGCATAGAACACTGCTAAGGCTGTTTGACGTAATCTCGGGCGCAGGTGGACCGCGCCAAGTGTCCGTCAGCGAAAGATAAATCTCAGAGTCCGCTCCCCTCAGCGCGGCGCGGCGGTGCCGTACGTCGAATACGTGACTCGTGACGCGTATCGTCCGCAAGTTGCGCGCGGAGTCAACGCTAAAACTGCTGGGCGAATTCTTGCGATACTTGAGACGTTGCCAGGTCGATGTCGTGCAAAATACGTTTTGCAAAAACGAAGACCCCAAAGCGTCGTGACGCGGGACGAGATGGTGCGCCCCGACGTGGCACAGATCGACTCCTGATGCGGGCCGCAGTCACCATCGTTAATCCGGGCTGGTGATTATAGAACGCGATCGTTCCTCCGCACAACGTTGTTCGACATCAGAACGGTCGTGAAACTTGCGCGATTAAACGATCCATCATTTATTTAACGACACTTAAACGATAGCCGATCGCTGGAACAGCCTGGCGACGTGCGGCGTTAGTAAAATTTAGGTGTCACGGAATATAAATCAACCGACGACATTTGAGTAATCATTTTTAAACGCGACATCATTGTTAAGCAACTCTGGAACATAATCACGACGGAGCGCCGCAAGTCCGACTCGCGAAGGTATCAAATAATAATAAAAAAAAGTATCCACTCCCGATGATATCAAACGAAATTGAAATTTAAACGGAGACGTTCCGAAATGCGTTCCATAAAAACGGCGGATAGAAAAACTATCATCGCTTCCGCGCGCGTTTCGCTACCACAGGTGGGGAAGGATTTTGCCGGACTAAGGAAATCTCATCCACTATACGCTCCATATCGGTATCGCGTGATGGCCGGTATATTCACGTCTCGTAACTGTGATACCCGTTCCTTCGGCTGTTCTAAAAATGCGGTATCCCGGTATCGTTTTGCACCACCATCCACCGGCTCGACCGACGGCGCACGCTCGTCTACATACATTCGAGTCGAAATTCATCGAATTCATCAAATTCCGAAAAGTACGCTGCCACGTTAAATGTCCTCGCATGAATTTAACGCGTTTCGTTCTATCCTCCGATTTTTTTTTCCCCGGCGCACGGAAAATGTACCGTATTTTAAATTAATCTTATCGAGTCCACATTCGTGCAGTCGAAAAGATTTGTTTCCATCGATGCAAATAATTCCTTAATAGCGATGAAATATTCGATGCTATTAAGGACGTGACGTGACATTTCGTACATTATCGCATCGAGAAATTGCCAAACGATACGAAGGTACAAATTTTTAGAGAACCGTCCACTGCAAAATGTACCGCGACCGAAGTCAATTTATTTCGTACGACGGGGAGAGGCATCACGATTGCCGAATATTCATGCATCTGGCATGCAATTTTTCCTTTTTTTTTATTATGTACCGGTTGAAAAAGTTAGCCAGCCGAATGAACAATCAGTCGGCAAGATCTAAAATCGATTGACAGCCTGTCGCACGTGCAACGTGCTTTTTTTCCACCGCCGGTCGCCGGCAATTATGTGATGCTAGGATTGATTCAATCCGAAATCGAGCCGGCACATTAAATCTGCCTCGTTCGACCGAAATGCGCATCCATCTTGCGTTACGAGCAACGGCGCTATTTCCCGCTCGATTGCGATACTTTTAATGGGGAATCGGAGCGTTTCGTGTCGGCGGTAATGTAACTTCGACGGAAGCCGGAACAGACGGGAACGATTATCTTTCATTACACCTGCGATTCCCAGGTACAATGTGTTCCAATTAATCGGCTAAGGGGCGTGGAGATAGGAGATGAGCGTGCATATCAATGACGGACATATCTCGCCTTTTTATGATTACCGATTTCCGCCAATTGATATTATTACGGAATTAATGTCAACGTTTTAATTAACAAAAGTCCAGAGTAACAGTGGCGAAACACCGAACGATACTTGTCGAACAGCAACGGAAAGATAAACATTTTTCGTTAATCTTCTTTTTACTGTCAGAGCCTATCGGGTGTTTAAAGTTTAAGTATCGTGAATAAGAGAAAGAAAGACGAACAGAATCGCATCTACACAGAGAAAATGATTTCTTTGGATTTAATAAATTGTGTTGTATCCAAACAAATTTGATATTTGGAATGGCCCAAACAAATCATTTGTTTGAATTTGAGAAATAATATATCTTTGTCTGAAATGAAATAATTATTTGAGACAAAAGGTATATTCTCTTTTATGTAAATGATAATATTGCTTTATTCAAACATTATCGTTTGACAGAAAATATGTGAACAAAATGTACAGATATATATCTTTTTCCCTCTACATTATAATTTTCCCTTCATTAGAAGAGGAAAGATAAATACTGAATTAGTACACTATGTTCAGCTATAAAGAATAGACTGTTAGATGCGGTCGCTTATATGTCTGGCCGCCGTGATTTTACTTACGAGTTCGCCGGCCATCTAGTGGCAGCACCGAACTTTATAGTTGCCTGGCCAAATAATATAATTATTTAACTGAAAGATATTACTTCAAATAATAGTGTCTTAAATAGAGATTGAATAAAACGAGAAAATTTTTATTCAAACGAATAATGTTTCGCGCAAGCGTATGTTGTTTCAATGAAACAAATTTCAATCGAATGAATAGGAATACTAAATCCAAAGAAATCCTTTTTCTCTGTGTACTAATTCGCAAGGCAAGGTACGCAAATTTATACGGCAGGGCATATTGATGGCATCCTGAATAATGAGCGTCTCTACGCAGATTAGAGATAATTTCTCTCTCGGAATATGTGATTTATAATTTTGAATTAGGCCGACATTTGATGCGATGGGGCGGCTTTTATGGCTCATAGCCGACGTCGTTAACGGCTCGCGATCGTAAGAGCCAAAGAATCAATATTGTTCAAGTTCGTCATACCGAAGAGGTGTAGTAAAACTTTACGTTCAAATTCAAGGGGGAAGAAAGCACTGTTATCAGGCACGCGGTAAAATACCGCGGCGGTGCCTCGCGATTGTCTATTATGTCGTCGACCAGATGATGAATGAATGGAGGAGTCTTGCGGGGGACCCCACGATTTTCCTCCGCCGGCTTTTTCGCGCGGAAACGCTCTCGTTGTCCATGCCTCCGTTTTCATACGTAAATAATTTGATGCGACGGAGTTAATCGATCGATCGCGTGTTTTCTCCTAATATCGCGCGGACTTTAAAATCCCCGATATTCGCGCAAGAATGTTCCACGTCGTTCAAGTGAATAGCGGAATAAACGAGGGGAAAGGATGCTCAACAATTATTTGTCGCGTAAAGAGCTTTTGAATCGTCGCCAAGTGATAATTATACGCACCCACAGAAAAAATTTCCGGACTCAATGCTATTACACTTCAATGTATCATAAAATAGGATCGATATAGCGCCAATCATATTTATTATAGAGAAAGGAATATTTCAATCTTAAATGAAAAATTCTTAAATCTAAAATAAAATGGTAGTCTTTTGCCGAGTATCGTGGTGTCAACGTGCGTTGTAAGATGGAGGGAAAATTTATTATAAACGCAAGAATATACAAACTTACATTTATATAAGTTACTCTCAATATAGTAAGTCAATCTTTTTTAATTCGATAGAGGAGAATAAGAATGATTGATTTTGTTTTGATATTGTCTTATCTGTATACTAAATGAGGTTGTGAGGAATATCATTGCGCGAAGAATATTTTTTGTCTCAGTAACAGAAATCCTTTCTGAGGGTGCGGAAAATATAATATCGCGAGGATATTTGGTTTCTCTCCGACCGATTTCTGGCAATGAGTTATCATAATTTAACAATCGCGGTGTTGCTCGTCGAGCAGGACTGTTTAGGCGTACCTACTCGTTGCGTTATCAAACCTCCCCATTCGCGAGGGGGGTTGGGGATGGGGCGTGTGAATCGTCCGTAACTTCGCATCGACCGCGCTTATACATTCTGACGAGAGACAGGGAAAGGGAAGGATGGTAGGGGGGGGGGGAGGGCTTGAAACGCGCGAGGCGTGAAACGCAAACTAGCGCAACAACCACCCGCGAGTCACAAGGTGCGAGCGTGTCAAATTCGCGGGCCATATTGCGGTATTGCGGCCAAAGGCGCCGCACGCCGTCAGCGCTTATGCCTGTTCGTTATACAAATCTCTCGTTTGTATTCAATCCGCTGACGCTTATTTTATGACAGCGAACCCGATGCGATTTCCCGATAATCCGAGTCACTCGTACTCTCGCACGCGGCTGACGGATAATCCCTTAAGTGCTGCACAATTTTCTCACGCCTTGTAAGCTCTGTATGCTGTGAGATTTTTATCTGCCGTACGAGAACGCGGGCATGACGTGAATCTCATATCATTTTCGAACGATTTGGACGCTGAATTCGAAACTTGAGTTTCTCGGAACACGAATTTCATGACGTGTGTTTTAATTTCATGTAAACAAGGATACAAAAACCGAAAAAAATGAAAGAATCATGTTTGGATTGGAGGCTGGAAATTGAATTTTTCATTAAGTACTTCCTTTTCTCAAAATCGGTTACGTACCAAGGAAAAGCCAAACGATGCTGCGCGAGATTAGCGAGAGTTAACATATCGCGAAAGAATTCGCAGAGGAGAAAATAC